AGTTGTCGGGATGGAAACATCTGCACTAAGTGATTACCGTAATGAGTGGGGCACAAGGGTAATCTCCAAGTGGCCCCAGGTCAGTGGCATCAGCACCCGCAGGAACTGGTTACAGATGCCGATGTGGTCCCCATGCAGACCTGCCACCTGTGAACATGACACCCAGCAGAGTGTGCCCACAAGCCTTCCGAGAGGCTCAGTCAAATCTGAGAATTCGCTGAGCGGGAAGAGGGCTCTGGCAAAAATCCCAGCGGACACCCACAGTCCACTGCAGATGCCACTGCCTTCCCTGGGAAAGTGACCCCAAATTCTCCCCTAGGAGGCCGGTCATGTCCTCATGAAGGTGCCAAAGCCCAAATGATAGAAGAATATGACCACTGACTCGATGTAGCTTCCCCAGGACCCACGTGACCACCCCACCTGACTCCTCCCACTGAGTCATGACCACCCTGCACCAGCCTACGTGGGTTAAGTGTCAGAATGTATAGAGGCCAGGGGGCAATTCTCTCAATAGATGGCCCACCCCCTATGGAAGACTAAAAAGATTCTGAGAAACGAAGCCAAGGGACTCAAAGACTCTTGTGGGTTTCGGTATCTCTGTGCAGACGAACCAGCTCATTTTGTGCTGCTGTGGTTCTCACTGCAGGCCACTTAGGAGATGATGAATGCCTCCCGAGACGTCCCCAGACGTTTATGACACCTTCAGAAACAGCCGCGAAGATGGCTCTATCATGCGCGGCAACCTCACACCCTTGGCGTTGCTCTTAATTATGTATATATTCTGGAGCTGCCAGGTTTCCTCCCACCAGAGCTCGGCAAGGTAATAAATGAGGAAAGTCAATGGTCTGTAAATTACAACATTGATTAAAGAAGTGATTACTGATAGAACTCTTGCTCGGCTATTATGCTAATGCCTGCCCAGCTCCAGGACAGTGTTTACATGTTAATGACAAGTCTGGGACACCAACTCAGATCGACTTCCATCCGTAATCAGCATGTAAACATTTTTAAAGCACTCTTGACCGTGAACGAGAAGATCCGTCCGTGTGTGCTTCTCCCAGCAACTCCCTGCCACTGTCCCTGGCAGACGGAGGAAGCTCTCCCAGCCCTGCCCTCGCCAGCTGCCTCTCCGAGCAGAAGTGCAAGTTGAAGATGAAAATTGGACCCCGAGTAGCCATCCACGGTTCCCGAAAGCTGGAGGGAGCCAGAGGGGGCCCTGATCACAAGAGTTCCTTGCTCAGCACTGGATGTCATTTGGCCAAGTCCACAGACCCCCAGGAGGGGACTCTGCTTCTTCCAAAGTCCCCAGTCCAGACAGGAGACAGATAAGCAAATCAGTAATTACCAGGGGGGACCCAAAGAAATGGAATGTATGTATTTTTAAAATGTGTATTCATTCTTACATGTCTAAACTTCAGTCCCCTTCAAAGTACTCTCCAATGGATGCAATACACCGATCAAGACGTTTTATCCACTGCTCAAAACAGTGTTTGAACTCATCCATTTTGCTGCCTTTCAGTGCTTCTGCTGTTTTGGGGTTTTTTTGGTTTTTTTTTTTGTTTTTTCTTTGCTTCTTCCACATCAGCAAAACCTTTCCCTAGGAGGACTTTTATCATCCAGAGGAAAAAAAAAAAGTCTCTCGGCACGAGATCAGGTGAAAGAGAAGGTGAGGCACAGGGGTCATGCAGTTTTGGGTCAAAAACTGCTGATCAGTGCAATGTGGGCAGGTGCACTCATAAATCACCCATCATGAAATGGGCAAATACACTGAAAGAATCTCAAAAAAACAAAAAAATTCACTGAAACTGAAAAAAGCAGCCTCTCACAGCAACACTAGCCAGAGCACTGATGCCGATGGGCTCCTAGAACACTTATCTAGTGGAGGAAGCCTGTGCTACAAGGGACCCGCCCCCCAAAAGATAGTTCTGAGGTTTTTTGGGTCCCCCCTTGCATACCTTATTATGCTGAGTGCTGTGTGAGGGTCCCTGAATGACTTCATTACCTCCAAAGCGTTCCACTAAACTGCACGTGTGTGCATTTCTCTAGCAAGAATTAGCTTTACAGTATTCCCCAAAAAGTCAATGATCCCCAAAAGTCAGGAAACACTGCTTGTGAGCTTTTTAGAAACTTTAGAATTAATGTCCTATGTTTCTGCTGATCTTTGGTACCATCTCATCTCAGTCTCTCACTACATCTCCCACCAACCCCAGAATCCTATGACCGTCCTGAATCAGGTGTCCCCATGAAAGGAGAGCCCTGTTCATCCATCCATCTGTCCATCCACATGTTTGTCTGTCCATCCACCCATCTATCCAACTATTTATCCATCATCCATTTAGTCGTCTACCCACCCACCCATTTATCCACCATCCCTCCATCAATATATGTATCCACTTTTCTGTTAGTCCATTTATTCATCTGTCTGTCTGCTCATCAATTTGTCCCCCTATCCCTCTGCTCCTCTGTCCATCATCCATTAATCTGCCCACCCATGTATTCACCATCCATCCATCCATCCATTTAACTGTCCATCAATCCATCCATCCATCCATTTGTTTATCTATTATGTATCCACCTGTCCCACCCATCCAACTGTCCATCAATCCATCCATCCATCCATTTGTTTATCTATTATGTATCCACCTGTCCACCCATTTATCCACCATTTATCTGTCCATCCATCCATCAAGCCACCCATCCATTCATTCATCCATGGATGGGCTGGCTGTCCATCAATCTGTTCATCCATCCATATGTCTGTCTGTCAATTCATCCGTCTGTTCATCTGTTCATCACTCATTCACCTGTCCATCATCCATTCATCTTTACATATATATATCTATCCATCCATCCATCTGTCCATTCATTCATCCATCTGTTCACCTGTCCATCCACCCATCCATCAATTCATCCATCCATCCCTCCATCCATCCATCCCCCATTCATCCATCCTTCCTTCTGTCCATCCACCAATCCATCCATCCATCCATCCATTCATACTTCCATCAGTTCATCCATTCATCTATTAACCTCTCCATCCCTCTATCCCTTCATTCATCTATCTGTCCATCCATCGTTCCTTCCTTCCACCCATCCATCCATCCATCCATCCATCCATCTCTCTAGCCATTCATTCAGTATCCACTTTGCTGAACTCCTGCTTCATAAGCTGCTAGTATAAAGAATCAAGTGTTCAAAGACAAGTAAGATGCTCCTTTTTCCTCCAAGGATTTCATGTCTATGAGGTTCTATGAACACATATGGCCAGTTTAAATTGCATCCCATACACTTGGCTATGTAGGATGGGTCATATTGTTTTTCTGCAACCCAACTTGGTTTCTATTTTCGGTTTTCAGTTTATCAGAGTGGCAGAAACAGAATCCCAGTCTAATTTCCAGAGAACCTCGCTATTGTCGAGGCACTGGAGGAGGGAACTTCTCATCTTCGAGTCTTCTGTTCACAGTGCCTAGGGGACATCCTTGATGGGTCACAGTCAGCATGGGTTACCTCCTTGATGGCCCTCACAGTTGTCCATGGGGTCCCTTCCTGCATACCTGAGAACATGAAATCTGAGTGGACTGTGGGAATGTGACATGAGCACCAGACGGGTCTGTGCCCATGTCCCATCCTATCAGGCTCCCAGGATACTAAGGCCTGCAGTACCTCCCTCTCCAGCAGGACACTCACCTTTTTGCTATTTTCTTGCCACTCTGGGAATATCCACAAGGCTGTAGATAGAGCATCTTTTTTGTTTTCTTTTGTTTTGTTTTTATAAACGGTATTATTCTGTGGACCAGGCTGGAGTGCAGTAGTACTATCATAACTCACTGCAGCTTTGAACTCCTAGGCGCAAGCAATCCTCCCACCTCAGCTTCCCTAGTAGCTGAGACTACAAGCACATGCCACCACACTTGGCTAAATTTTTTTTTATTTTTAGGTTTGGAGATCTTGCTATGTTATCAAGGCTGTTCTCGGACTCCTGATCTCAAGCGATCCTCTTGTCTCAGTCTCCCAAAACACTAGGATTACAGGTGTGAGCCACCTTGCCCAGTTCTTAGCTTCATATTTGAATGAATGGCTTTGGAACACAAAAGCCAAACGCTTGCTGACTCATTTTTATTTTCTTTGTGTGTTTGTTTTTCTTTCTGCTCTGACTCATTCCTTTCCTGAGATAAGAATTTGCTAGAAAGAGGGAAAGGAAAGGGAGGAGGAACACTAGGGGGAGAAACACAAGTTGGTAGACCCTGATGTGAATCACCATTCGCCTATTGAACAACCTCAATACAAAGCCATAAACATCCCAGGGCGTCATGCAAGCTGGTCCAGGCCCCACAAATGGGGGGAGGTGACCCCAGGAGAAGAAGGTTGCATTGCTGAGACCTGGGCATCATGGAAAAGCATCAGGAAAGCATGAGTGGAGGGAGAGACCATGGTAATGAGCATCCTGCTGGAGAGGGAGGCACTGCAGGCCTTCGTATCCTGGGAGCCTGATAGGGTGGGATATGGGCACAGACCCATCTGGTGCTCATGTCACATTCCCCCAGCCCACCCAGATTTCACCCACAGCTGCATTTCTGCACAAGTTCAAGTTCACTTTTGACTGCAGTCTCACCTCAAGCTGCTTTCTGCTTTCTGTCCCAAGCAGGAGCAGCCCTCGACCAGGAGGCCTCGACCAGGAGCTGGTAGACGGTAATATTCCTGCCTCTTATCCCTTAGGTAGACAATTCTGGATACTTTTCATGAGGCCTCATAGAAACAGAGCCTGATGCATCTTCCCCTTGACTTTTCCTCTTTCTCTGTCTCCCTCTCCTCCTCCTTCACCCTTGCCTTCTGGGATCACCTCCCAATTAAACTGACTGCGTCAGATCCTCGTTTCAGGCTCTGCATTGGGAGGAGCCTGAATTAAGCACCCGTGCTTTGCAAGAGAACAGGACAAACTGAAGAAGGGCGGCCTCTAGGGCCCCTCGGCATCTCCATCCTGTCTCACTCTGTCTCTGCAGGTGTCTGACCGCTGCGACTACGTCTTTGTCAATGGCAAAGAGATAAAAGGCAAGATGGATGCGGTGGTGAATTTCACATACCAGTACCTGAGTGCCCCTCTGCACATCACCGTGTGGGTGCCCCGGCTACCCCTGCAGATTGAGGTCTCTGACACGGAGCTCAGCCAGATTAAGGGCTGGAGGGTCCCCATCGTGGCCAGTAAGAGGTGAGCCTGAGATGGGGAGTTGCCCCGGACATGACAACAGCTCTACTCACTAACCTAATGTCAAAGGATCTGGTAAGGTGCACAGGTGTTAGTTGTACCACGACTGTTTCATCTCCCTAGATCCTAACAACAACTTCTGAGGAGGCCAGGCCTCCAAGGGAAACCCAGCCAGGCCCCAAAGCTGCTAAGCAGCAGTCCTGGCAGACCCAGGTTGCTTGTGCTCTGCACTTGGGCTTCTCCGAGGCTGTCTCTTGAAAGTGGCTCTCCCAAAATGCTGCAATGCCAGTAATAGATTGTCTTAGCATCTCAGTCCCCAGGAAATTTGACAATGCGTTTATTTTCTCTGAGTAAATATCAAAGTCCTTTTCTGGGCTTGGTGAATATTATAAACTTGCAGTGTTCTCTGCGGAGCAAACCCTTGGATCAAGTTTGATTGCATGTACACTGGACCATGGAGTTAGTTTGCAAAAAGCCTCTGGTTTATCCTTGTGACCCTGGACTGTCCATCCTGCATGGGAGCCTGGGAGCTTGTCCTCTCAGCTCTGAGCATCTGCCTGGAACCTTCTCTCCCAACCATCAGGGCTGTTTTCCTGAAAGTCCCCTGAGCACAAGGGCCTTTCTCTTAAGGGACAGACCAGAATGTATCTCAGTGAGATGCCGAATCCATATCCACAAGGAGAACATGAAGGCCTGTGGTCTGATTGGGAGAGGACGGCCAGATGTCTAGCCTGTCTTTCAGTCAGTGCCATGAGTGACCAAGACAATGGGTTTGTTCCCCGTCCCTGAGGTGGGCAGAATTGAGACTCACTGTGCTCCTATCCAAGCTCGGCCACTTGCTAGCTCTGTGAGTGTTGGCAAGCTACCTAATGTCTCTGTGCCTCTGTTTCCTCATCTGGACGTGAGACTAATTAAGGGTTCGCCTCATAGTGTTATAAGATTAAGAGAGCTCATGCATAGGGAAGCTTTGAATGGGGGCCAGCACATCTCAAATATGTGACACAGCTCTGTCCAGTAGAACTTTCTACAGTGGTGGAATGTTCTGGGACTACACTGTCCAGTGTGGTAGTCACTAGCTCCTGTAGCTACAGAGCACTCAGATTGTAACCAGCATGACAGAGAAGTTGGATTTTTTTTTAATTTATTTAGTTTTTGTTTATTCAAATTAAAAGTTTGAGCCAGGCCTGGTGACTCATGCCTGTAATTTCAGTGCTCTGGGAGGCCACAGTGGGAGGATCACCTGGGCAACATAGCAAGATCCCAATTCTACAAAGATTTAAGATTTAAAAAATTAGCTGGGCGTGGCAGCACATGTCTATAGTCCCAGCTACTTGGGTGGTTGAGATGGAAGAATCACTGTAGCCCAGGAGTTCGAGGCTGCAGTGAACTATGATGGCACCACTGCACTCTAGCCTGGGTGACAGAGTGAGACCCTGTATTTAAAAATAATAATAATAATAATAATAATAATTAATTAATTAATTAAAACTTAGCCGGGCTCGGTGGCTCAGCCTATAATCCCGCACCTTTGGGAGGCTGAGGTGAGTGGATTGCCTGGGCCCGCAGGTTCGAGACCCGCCTGGGCAGCAAGACCTCATCTCTACAATAAATCAAAAAATCAGCCGGGCATGGTAGCGCTGCCTGTAATTCCGGCTACTTGGAAGGCTGAGGCGGAAGGATCGCTGGAGCCCAGCAAGTCGAGGCTGTGGTGGCCGGGAGCGGCCTCTGCACTCCAGTCTGGGCGACCGAGTGAGACTCCAACTAAAAAAAAAAAAAAAAAAATTTAAATAACCACATGTGGCTAATGGCTACTTATAGGACAGTGCAGGATTAGTAAATATTCGCTGTTGGTTGGGCACAGTGTCTCACGCCTGCAATCCCAGCACTTTAGGAGGCCGAGGCAGAAGGATTGCTTGAGCCCAGGAGTTCAAGAGCAGCCTGGGCAACACCGTGAGACCTCCTCTGTACAAAAAAGTAAAAAAATTACCTGGGTGTGGTGGCACATGCCTGTAGTCTCAGATACTCGAGAGGTTAAGGCAAGAGGATTGCCAAAGCCCAGGAGGTCTAGACTGCAGCAAGCTGTGATCATGCCTCTGCACTCCAGCCTGGGTGACAGAGTGAGATCCCAACTAAAAAAAAAAATAGCTGTTTAGCCTTTTATTTGTCAGTCAACGTGTTCAAGAAAGGGAGGCCTGCACTTTGCGCAGCCCAGGAATGAGAGTGGGCACCTCATGCGGTCCCGCAGTCCTGTCTTCGATGCTGCCTTCTTGAAGTTGAGATAGGCACTGCCCGTCTCAAGAGCATCTTACACACCTCCCCTGGGATCTGAGAGCTGCTTGTTTTTTTCCACAGGCCTACCCGCGAGAGCGAGGATGAGGACGAGGAGGACCGCCGGGGTCGGGGCTGCGCCCTGCAGTACCAGCACGCCACCGTGCGTGTCCTCACCCAGTTTGTATCTGAGGGCGCCGGGCCCTGGGGCCAGCTCAGCCACCTGCTCAGCCCCGACTGGCAGCTGGACATCACCCACCTGGTCGCAGGCTTCATGAAGCTGGAAGAGCCTCACGTGGCCACCCTCCAGGACAGCAGGGTCCTGGTGGGGCGAGAGGTCGGGATGACCACCATCCAGGTAGGGAGCCCCAGCCTCTGCATCCACTGCACTGAGACCCCGAGTAGCATTGAGAAAGACCCACAAGGTGGGTGGGTCGTTGGGATCCATTCCTCGCCCCCCATGATGGCTCTGATGGCATGAGGGGGACACAGAGAGATAAGCCTGGCACAGCTCCTGAGTTCCAGTCTCCTTTCAAACAGAATGAAGTCCAGGCGGGGAGGCTCACAGCTATAATCCCTGCACTTTGGGAGGTCCAGGCAGGAGAATTGCTTGAGGTCAGGAGTTCAAGACAAACCTAGGCAACATAGCAAGACCCCATATCTTAAAAAAAAATTAGCCAAGTGTGATGGCATCTGTAATCCCAGCTACTCCGGGGCAGGGGTCGCTTGAGTCCAGGAGGTTGAGGCTGCCATGAGCTCTGATCCCGACACTGCACTGTAGCCTGGGTGACAGAGCAAGACCCTGTCAAGAGAGGAGAGAGAGAGAGAGAGAAACAATAAATAAGAATGGAGAAAGTGGTGGCCACACACCCTTAGTCTGCCACATGACCCATTCTCAGGGACTGCTCCTCCATTCTAATCTCCTCCCAGCACTCTCCGTCCTCCCTCTGATCCTCCCACTTTGTACACTTTCCAGACCTATTCCTCCTCCACCTTCTCGGACCTCCCCTTTGCCTCTTCTGTGCACTGTGTCTACCAGTGCCTGGGGACGAAGCGTGGACTGTCCCTCTCGTTCCTCCTTCAGTCACTCTCCCTGCCTTCTATTTATTCAACAAGCTCTCTTTAGAATCCTGCTCTCTCTGCTCGAGGAATGTGTTGAATGGAAGGATCTTGGGCAGACGAAGGGGTGGGGGCGATCTCCTCTTCTGCCCATCCAGGCCTACCCTGCTGACTCCCCCTCTGTGGAGACTTACGCCACATGTGGAAATGAATGGCACACTGCTGTCACCTCACCTGCATATCTCAAGTCCAGCATCTAGCTCACAGATAAGGCAGGAAGCAATGTCTCAACAGAGGATGCAAGAGCAGACTATTTAAAATCCAGGTCTCCCCAGTTAACTCCATAGTTTACCTGGAATTTGATCTGGGTTGCTCACAGTCAGTTTGTATATAACTCTTTATGAGTCTGGTCAACAGATCATCATGTACAGTTACCCAGGTCATGCATTGTACAAGAGTACTTCATCTTATGGGAGGGCTTAGGCCAAGTGCAGCAGCTCATGACTAATCTCAGCACTTTGGGAGGCTGAGGTGGGGGGTCACTTGAGGCCAAGAGTTCAAGACCAACATAGTAAGACCTTATCGCTACAAAAAAAATGATTTTATATATATATATTTACTTAGCCATATATATATATATGGCTAAGTAAATAAATGGTAAGGGGTCGTTCCTTTTTAAAGACGGAATGGATTTTTATATATATTCCAATTTTCCAACAGAGTCAAGGTGTCTTGGGGAAGGGGTGACTTTATCTAATTCCCACAGAGGCATGGCGTGGCAGGTGCATAAGGTGGCTTAGGTGTGTGGCTCCATCCCCTGTATTCTGGACCTCAAGTCTGTTTGGGGTGGAAGGAAAATTGGTGGGAAGGTTCTAGCGTCTGGAAACAGGTTTGATGGATTCTCCTTGTGTCCTGCCAATCCCACAGGTATTGTCTCCATTGTCTGACTCCATCCTGGCAGAGAAGACGGTCACTGTGTTAGATGACAAAGTGTCAGTGACAGAGTTGGCCATCCAGCTCGTGGCTGGACTGTCGGTCACCCTCCACCGCAATGCAGAGAACAGTAAGGCCATCACAGCTGTTGCCACCGCTGAGGAGCTGCTGCATACCCCCAAACAGGTAGGGGCCAGATGCCAGAGGCAGAGAGGGAGCAGGGTCAGTCGTGTTCCTCATTCAACAGAAGGGGAGGAAGGATACAGGGAGGAGGCAGGCTGTAGAACAACATTCCTGAATGGAGGCCAAGTCATTGTAGACAAAATGCTTGTCTTACCTTCACAGCTTTTGGGCAGCACAGACCCAGGGTGAGCTCATTCACCAGCCCTCTACCCAGGTCTCCTGGCTGTCATTCTTACATTCCTGCATTGTTCTCTCTTTTGAAGAGCAGAGTGAGCTTTTAAAACCATAAATCAGGGCTGGGTGCAGTGGCTTATGCCTGTAATCTCAGCACTTTAGGAGGCCAATGTTGGAGGATTTCTTGAGGCCAGGAGTTTGAGAGCAGCCTAGGCAACATAGTGAGACCTCATCTCTACAAAAAGTAAAAGTTAGCCAGGCATGATGGTGCATACCTGTAATCTCAGTTACTAGAGAGGTTGAGGTGGAAGGATTGCCTGAGCCCAGGAGGTCAAGGCTTTGTTGTGCCACTGCACTCCAGCCTGGGAGGCAGAGTGAGACTCTGACTCAGAAAAAAGACAAACAAACAACAACAACAAACATAAATCTGACTATGTCTTTCACTGACCTTAAATGTTCCAGTGACTTCCAACTGAACTTAGAAAGAGACCATATTCTTTTGACATCCCACATGATATAACCTCTGCCTAGGTCTCCGACCTAACCTTTCCCAGCTCTCAATCTCTCAATCCTTCTCAGCACACATGAGACACACACTCCTTTTGAGCTTTCTTAGAAACTTTGCAATGCTATTCCTGTGCCTGGATCACACTCTCCTCAGCTCACCACTGAGCACAGTGCTTTCTCATTTTCATACCCAGCTGTGATATCTCCTTCTCATAAATGCCTTTCCTCACAGCCCTGTGTAAATCAGTCCCACTTCCTACCACCACTGTTTTATTTCCATTGTGGTATTCATTATTATCTGAAATTATTTAGCTAAGTATTTGCTTATTTATTTTAGTTCTCCTCCATGGAATATAAGTTCCTAGAAAACAAGCACCTTTTTCATTGTCTTGCCCCCAGTGACTATCACAGGGCCAGCACACAGTAGGTGCTCCATAAACATTGAATGAGTGAGTGAGTGACTCTCAGAGCTGTGCTGGAAGACAGGAAATTGCAAAGGAGGAGGGAAAATGATCCAAGCATCCCAGCCATGATGGGGCTCATCTGACCCTGATAATCTGCACTAGTGTTTGCCTTGTCTGCAGGACTTTCTGCTTCTGATATTGTCACTAGGAAAATTCTGATGGGAAGAGTACAGACTTAAAGCCAGAATACCCATAGGTCATCACAGTCCTGTTTCTTACCACCTCTGTACCTCGGGCATGACACCTTGCCAGTGTCTCAACCCTTAAAGCGAGTAACAGCACCTAACTTGAAAAGTCCTTTTGAGAATTAAATTGGGATTAACTATGCTAATTGCTAGACACTGTGGCTGGCATGAAGTCATGCTCTGTCAAGTCAGCTCTTCTTATGAGGAGGGTTGTTATTATTTTCACCATTTTAGTAAAAGCACATAGGACCTTGCATGCTCATTGGAGCAGACAGTCTTAGTTCAGAACACTCAGCTTCAAATCTAGTTTCCTCTGGTGACTTGGAGTCAGAAAAGCCAGGCAGTCTGGAGAGGAATCTCAAATAAATCTCCACCATGGATTAAGCAGTGCAGGAGGAGTTGTCCTACTATTGCTGGGGGCATGGGGTTGGGGCCAGGAGGAGAGCAGGAGGGATTAGGGTCTCCTGACCTGCACTCATGGGATTGACAGTGCTCCAAAGGGAAGACGTGCTGCTGAGAATGGAGGCTGTGAAGGGCAAGGGCAAGGGTGTGACAGTAGAGCCTGGGGGCATATATTCTTCCATGGGAACTGGAAAGTTCCAGCCATAGTGCAGGGTTTCAGTGTGGTTCAAGGGCAGCAAACCCAAGTGCCACAGGTGCTGGGCTAGTGTTATGAATGAGGGATGCGGGGCTGTGAACATCCACATGACTTTAGTTTGCATCTCCCTGACGATGAGTGTCATTGAGCACTTTGTCATATATCTTTTGGCCATTTGTGCATAGAATGGAATAGCGGATCTCAGAGACTCAAAAAGGAGGTCAGGAGGGGGAAGGAGGAAAAGTCAGCTATGGGGTGCGATGTGCACTAGTTGGGTGATGAGTACTTCTTCAAAACCATTGTACAACTCATCCATGTAACCAAAAACCACTTGTACCTCTAAAGCTATTTTTAAAAAAATTTTTTTTTTGAGTTGGAGTCTCACTCTTTCACCCAGACTGGAGTGCAATGGCCGCTCCCGGCCACCGCAGCCTCGCCTGCTGGGCTCCAGCGATCCTTCCGCCTCAGCCTTCTGAGTAGCCGGAATTACAGGCATGTGCTACCACACCCGGCTGATTTTTTTGATTTATTGTAGAGATGAGGTCTCGCCTGCCCTGGCGGGTCTCGAACCCGCGGGCTCAGGCAATCCTCTCACCTCAGCCTCCCAAAGGCATGGGATTACAGGCTGAGTCACCGAGCCCGGCCTAAAAAAAATGTTTTAAGTACAAATGAAAAACTAAAAAAAGAATCCATATGGCTACCTTGTCCCAGTAGTAGGGTCTGTGAGGAACCGGAACAGTCATGCCCAGCACACATGGTGTATCTGTTACCTACTGCCGTGTAACAAGTGCCACAGACTTAGCAGCTTAAAACAGCACCCATTTCTCAGCTCATGGTGCTGTAGGTGGGCTCTGCTGGGTCCTACACTCATCACAAAGCTGAAATCAGAGCGTCGGCCGACTGAGTTCTTATCAGGATGCTCTGATTTTTTTATTTTATTTGTTGAGGCTGCTCCCATGATTGTTTATGTGTTAGGAGAATCCAGATATTTGTAGTTGTGTGTTAGGGTCCCCCAATTCTTTGCTACTTATTGACTGAGAGCCCCTCTTAGCTCTCAGACCACCCCCATTCCTTCTCATTGGCCCCATCCCCGTCTGCTTCAACCCCAGCAGCAGGAAATGAGTCTGTCTCACGCATCCATCTCTCTGACTTCCCCTTCTGCCACCAGTCAGAGAAATCTCTCTGCTCTCAAGGGCTCACGTGACCTCACTGGCCCCACCCCAATGATCCAGAAAGATCTTCGCATCTTAAGGCCAACTGTGCCACACAACATAATCATGAGAGATCCGTCTCATCCTATGCCCATGTGATGAGGATTTGAGTGGGACATCTTTGGTGGGTCATTCTGGAAGTTCTGCCTACCACAAGGAGACCGTATCTACCTGACTCTGCTCTGGAATGTCAAGAGGAGGGCCCTGGATGCAGACAGGTCCACGGCCAGCCCACAGTGCTGACTTCTCCAATCTTCTCTATTGGGGGCAGAAAACTAACATGGTGTTTTCTAGTTTAAAAAAAAACAAGTGTAAGAACTGCAAAGGAAAGTCTAGGAAAGAAAGCTGAAGGCATGAAGCTATTTGCTGAAAATGGGTCGTTCATTAGAGTGAGAATTGGCCTTGCAATCCCCCAGCACGGGGCACGGCCCCCACCCCCATCTGACATTGGCCATCTGTCTTCATCAGCTGACAGTAATTGGTGGAGCCCAGGACTGACCTGGGGGATTTATGGATGTGGTTCATCTGATTTGCAGACATGACTCTCAAAAGGATAGAGCTCGCAATCATCCTGGGGCATGTGTTATTTTTAAGTCATTCAGAATTTCTCATCCTTGGGGAACGATGTTGGCTTCTCCTGATAAAACAAGATGTTCCAACCTCTCTGTAATGAGCTAACGGGAGGGCTTCATCTCAACCTCGCAGCGGGGCCGATGGAAATAGATTTGGCCAAGCTGAGGCTGTTCTGGGGGCTGAATTCCAAGTGTCTGCCATTTGGGGCGCTTGTTTTATGTTAACTTCTCTCTCCATCTAAAGTTTGTGAAGAAAAATTAATTTGGAATGAAAAGCCAGCCAAGGTGAACTTGCACCGCTCAGCATGCTTTATTTCAGCCCTTGGTGTGCAGAAGTCTGGCCTCTTTTTAGTGAAAGCTTTAACTTTGAAATACAAAATCTGAGCGATGTTTATACCCACAAATACAAGGGCGGTTGCCTGTGTGTTCCCCTAGGCCTCGTTTGCGCTAAGATAGGAGAGAAACATTAAAGGGAGGACCTCTTGGCATCCCTGCAGAGGCTGAGGTGCCAGGAAGGGGCATGTCAAGTGCATGGTCCGTCTGTCAGTGTGGACTTGGGAGACAGGGTGGGAGCTGACATCACAGAGCCAGGATCATCTGTCTTAGATTTGTTCCCCAGAAGCTGAGCCTGAGACAAGGATTCAATTCCAAGTACTGTACTGGGACAGGGAAGACAGCCCCAACAGGGGAGTCGAAGAGTGATGCGAGAAAAGGAATGGCCGAGAGGGTGCGTGACCCATCCAGCCATCAGGGAGGGCAGTGGAGCGGCAGCCTGAGGGGTTGAGACACTGGTCTACAAAGGCTTGAGGAGCAATTGCCCGTGAAGGGAGCTGGATGCAGAAAACAACTCCTGTCCATCCTTCATGGAGGTGCTAATGCCTGGCATGTCTGGCTGTGGGCATGACCATGTGGGTTCCAGAAGCCAGAGAATACCCTCAGGGGAAAGCTGACCATTGCCAGTTGAGCTGGTGAGAGCCGAATAGACCACACCCATGGAGATCTCCACGTCCTCTTAAGACATTATTCTAAGCAAATTGACACAGAAACAGAAAACCAAATACCCACGTTCTCACATGTAAGTAGGAGCTCAACCCAGGGCACACACAGACATACAGATGGGGACAGTAGGCTCTGAGAGTCCTAGAAGGGGGAAGGAGGGAAAGGGGTTGGAAACCTACCTGTTGGGCACCACATTCACTGTTTGGGTGACGGGATCCACCAAAGCCCAAACCTCACCCTCACACAATAGACCCATGTAGCAAACCTGCACGTGTGTCCCCTGAAGTTAAAATTTAAAAAAAGAAAAATAAATAGATAAATAAGACAAAACCAAAGACTCTGTGTGCCATCTCACCCCTCAGAGCCTGCCAGCGTTCCTCTGGGCTTTCTGTCACAAGTGGTAGCATCCCAGCTCAAACTGGCCTAAGCAGACAGCAGGATTTATCAGGTCATGTCCAGGCATTCGCATCTTCAGGTATGGCTAGATCCAGGGGCTCGACAAAGTGTCATCAGAAATCCTCCTTTCTACGCCTGGCATTTTTCCTTGGTGCTGGGGGATGTCAACTCATGACCGCTTGGAATGCTGCTTATCCTCATACTCTGTGTTTTCCTTCTGGAATTCCTGCAGGCAACTGTGGGCACTCACTCACTCTTCTTCCTTTCCACCTATCTTTTATAGACTGTATTTCTCTGTATTCCTGTGGTCCCATGTTCAGTGAATGTGCTGGCTTTGTCTCCCATTCCACTGATTCTCTCCTCAAACATGCCCAATCTGCTACTCACACCATCCACTGAAGAACTCATTTTGGAAGCTGTCTTTCCTTTCTAAAGCCCCCTCCCTGCTCCGTCCAGCTCTGCTCTTATGGTGGGCTGTCCGTCCTTCTCATCCCCTTCAACTGTTTGACTCCCTAAACTGTTGTTTCCTAGTGGTTGGTTTTATTTCAGGTACTCACCTGCTCTCTTCCAGTACCTGTTTAGTGACTGCCTCACGATGGCAAGGTCAACCTGTGGGCTGGCCTCTTTTCTCCTTTCTGCTTGAGCCGTGATTGCTTTGCTTCATTCCTAAGAAGTTCCTGTGAAGCTGTGTGTTTGCTTTGGCCCAGGTCCAGCTTCCAGTGAGTTTCTCTTGCAATTCCTGCCCACCAAGTTGGGCCAGCACCCACTGCAGGGGTCTGATTTCTAGTGAAGACATTTCCACCCAGTGATCACAGCACAAACAAGCTGCGTCAGTTGCTATGGCTCTGGCTCTTTGGGTAGGATTTTCCCATCTCGCAGACATGGAGAGGGTCCCTGTCACCTCCTCGTGCTTTTGTGGTGAGGCCTGAGATGGACGTCCAGGAAGGCGTGCAACGTCAGGCCTGGGGTGGCATGAGAAAAGCAGGTGGGATGCAGCAGCTTGACTTTCCTTAGCAGAGGTCATTTCCTCGTGGCCCTTGTGGGGGCTAATAATTGGGCCCTGGCGTTGGCTATTCTGGAACAGGCTCTGAAGTCAGACAGCCCAGGTTCAAGCCCCCATCTTGCCTCTTGCTAACCACGTGACTGGGGACACACGTCTTAACCCCCTCTCTAGGCAGAAGGAAACTCATTATGTAAATAACTATTCACAGCGCCTGACCCATATAAGTGCCCAGAGGATATTAACTCTCCATGTTGTTACAAAGATTACACATGTCACCCTCCTCTGTTCATTCAGGAAAAACTATGTCTCAACTAGGTCCTGGCTCTGTCCCAGGTGCTAAAGATCTGGTCGCTCCTAAACACCTCTGTCCCTGACGAGTCCCCACTCTGGGGCCAACAAAGGAGTGCCCACACCAACTCAGGACCCATGCCCTCCGTAGCACCTGTTGCTGTGGGCAGACAAAATGGGGACAGGGCTGCAATCATTGACCTCGGAGGAGACGAGGACACAGGGAAGGCTTGTGCTTCTTAAAATCCGTCAGACACACAGGCATGGGTGTGTCTAGGCCAGTAGCTGTCAAATTGGGGGGATGGAATAGTATTCAGCCATAAAAAAATGAAGTTCTGTTCTTTTCAGCACCAGAGGTGAGCCCGGAAGACACTATGTTAAGTGAAACAAAAAAGGCACAGAAAATCAAAGTGTTTTGACTCTCCCCACAGTGGGAGGTGCTTTGAGTAGTTGCTTGGCCACTGACGAATGCATAATGAGTCTCTTAAATAAATCCATACCCCTACACTGGCCCTTAGTTTTCTGTTTTCCCCTGATGGCCAAGACAGCACAACTGAACCAGCACCGCCAGCCAACGCCACCGCTGGCGTGTGGCATGCTTCCACCGCGCGGGGACTCTGACAGTCAAATAAAGCATCTTCAAGGCACAACAGGGTCAGCCTTAAAGGGCAAGACGCACTTGTCTTCTTGATTCTCAGAATGAGTCAAAGGTGCTGCGTAGTTCACCAGGGAGGTTCAGGGAGAAGAGAGGCGTTTCCTTGTTAACGCCCTTGGCTCTCGCAGTGCACGCCCTCTCCCACCAGCCTCTGTCATCACAGACAACACATACATTAATTCAGCAGGCCCAGGACACTAATCGCAGAGTCCATGAAAAAAAAAGTTGTGGAAGCCAGTCGTTGACCATGAAGACAGGCCAGCTAACTGGTTAACGTGATTCTCTGTTAACAAAGCCAATGGAGCCTTGTCTCAGTTAAGGGTTTCTGTTGTTTGTCTGCGTGTTTATTCCTGGTCAGGTTCATGCAGGAGCTGTTAGTGCACATCTCGATTTGTTCTGGATTAAATTCAGGTGATTTCTCTGACCTTGATAGAAAACCTGAATGTTTCCTCCCCAGAGATCTCAGCTACCAAGCCTGGATTTGGGGGCTGGCTCCCTGTCTCTTTGGGTGTTCTCCCAGGAGGGGGTCTCTAGGAGGAAAGACATTCCCCCAGTGGTCTTCTAACTGCCTCTCTCCCCGCAGGAAGCCGTGGTCAGCACCTGGCTTCAGTTCAGCGACGGCTCGGTGACACCCCTGGACATCTACGATACCAAGGACTTCTCCCTGGCAGCCAGCTCCCAGGACGAGGCCGTCGTGTCCGTCCCCCAGGCCCGCTCTCCCCGGTGGCCCATCGTGACGGCTGAAGGGGAAGGCCAGGGGCCACTGGTCCGAGTGGACATGACGATCGCAGAGACCTGCCAGAAATCCAAGCGCAAAAGCGTCCTGGCCGTGGGCGTCGGCAGCATCAGGGTCAAGTTCGGACAGAACGATGCTGACTCCAGCCCCGGCAGGGACGATGAGGAAGATGAGAGGAAGAACCACGCCAGCGACCGCCGGCCGAAGGGGCAGGACCACGAGCGCACAGGCCAGGATGGGCACTTCTACGACGGTGCCTCCGTGGAGCGCGAGGAGGGGGCTGTCCGGAGGGCCGCCACCACGGCCAGGTCGCTGCTGGACAACAAGGTGGTTCGGAGCAGCCGGGTGGACGAGGGCCGGCTGTCGGCCGAGGAGCCACTACAGAACATCCCCATCGATTTCACCAACTTCCCGGCCCACGTGGACCTCCCCGGGGCCGGCGGTGAGCTGGCGGAGAGTGACGTGGTGCCCACACCCCGGGGTCTGAGCGACCTGGAGATCGGGATGTACGCCCTCCTGGGCGTCTTCTGCCTGGCTATCCTCGTCTTCCTGATCAACTGCGCCACCTTCGCCCTCAAGTACAGGCACAAGCAGGCGCCCCTGGAGGGCCAGGCCTCCATGACCCACTCCCACGACTGGGTGTGGCTGGGCCACGGGACGGAGCTCTTGGAGAACGCGGGGGACGCGCCGCCACCCCAGGACGAGCACACCACCATCATAGACCGCGGCCCCGGCCCCGGGAAGGAGAGCAGCCACCTCTTCAACGGTGGCACCCAGAAGCACGTGCACAGCCAGAGCCACAGGCCAGCGGATCCCGGGGGGCGGCAGGGCCGGGAACAGAGGCAGGACCCCCTGCACTCGCCCACCTCCAAGAGGAAGAAGGTGAAGTTCACCACCTTCACCACCATCCCCCCAGACGACGGCTGCCCCACGGTGAACTCCATCCTCAGCGGCCGCGACGAGGACATCAAGTGGGTGTGCCGAGACGTGGACGTGGGCGCCCCCAAGGAGCTGAGAGACTATCTGGAGAAGTTCAGAGATAAGGTGTAGGCCCCTCCAACCGGAGGGAGACCCACCGGCGTGCCTGCCTTCCGTTCCATGGAAGATTCTGGCGCCAGGGGTTGACCCGAGTGGGGCAGAAGTTCTCCGTGGCCTCGAATAGGGCAGGGCCGGGCACCATGGCAGAACAGCTGGAAGTCTGAAGGCGGGAAGGGACATTTTTATATCAAGAGTTTTTTAGCAGTTGATGATGGCAGATTCTCAAAAGTAAGAGGGATAAACTCTGGGGGGTGGGGGGGGTGGGGGCGGACCGAGATATTAAATTGCACAAGGCAAAATTAGGAAGGTTATTTTATGAGTCAAAATATCATACAGACAAGGTACCAAAAATTATTTGTTAAAAAATTCAAAAAAAAGACAAATAAAAAGAGATAGAAATGAGCATCTGTTTATATTTCTAATAAAGGAGCAAAATATAAAAATAGGGCCTGTTCAGAGACAGTTTCCATTTTAATTCAATATTTGCTTTTCTGAGGATGGTCCCGGGAAGATGTTTCTGAATATCGGTTGCCTCTTGGGATAGAGCTAAGGATTTTCAAATCTTAACTTTATAATCTTTTCTTCTCTTTTCCATATTTTTTTGGTGCCCCAGATTCCATTCCATTTATGTTTAAGTTTATTTCTGAGGGTCAAGTGTTCTTTTTTCTTAAAAGAAACATAAATTCCATTCTTCTTCATTTGATGAATTCCTGGAAACAATGTCAACTAATCTATTCTTTATTATTATTAGTTTTTGAGATGGAACTCTGACTCTGTTGCTCTAGCTGGAGTGCAGTGGTACAATCATGGCTCACTGCAGTCCCCAACTTCCGGGCTCAAGGGATGATCCTCCTGCCTCAGCCGCCTGAGTAGCTGGGACTACAGGCACGTCTCACTATGCCCAGCTAATTTTTTATTACTTTTTTCTATTATTATTTTTGTGGAGATGGGGTCTTGCTCTGTTGCCCAGCCCTACCCATTCTTTAAGTCGTAATGTTAATGCTTCTCTACATCCCTCCAGCTTTGTTGATTTTTGCTGGGTTTTTTTTTTACAAGTAGAAGGAGCATTCGGCACTTGCCGGGGGAGGAAGGGAACCGCCATTCACTTGTCACCACCACCACAGCGTCAAAGCCAGTGGGCGGGACCTGGTCAAAGGCTGTCCAGATGGCGCGTGGCCAGAACAGAGCCCAGCCTGGACCACTTGGCTACCCAAGACTCCATCCTTGTTTTTGTGAAGATATAGGTTATATGGGGGGAGAGACCAAAACAACCTGGAATTTATTTACAAAAAATTGTGTATTTCTTACACGTTTAAACTTCAGTCACCTTCAAGGTCCTCTCCATTTGATACAATACACCCATTGAGACGCGTTTTCCACCGCTCAGAACAGTTTTTTAACTAGTCCATTTTGATGCCTTTGAGCGCTTCTGCCGTTTTTTATTTAACCTCTTCTACATCGGCCAAACATTTCCCTTTGAGGACTTTTTCATCCAGGGAAACAACAAAAAGTTACTCAAGGTGAGATCAGGTGAATTAGGGAGGGTGAGGCACAAGGGTCATGCTCCTTTGGTCAAAAACGGCTGAACACTCAGCGTGGTGTGGGCAGGTGCATTCGCTCATAAATCACCCATCATGAAATAGGCCAACACTCTGAAATGATCTCCACAACAAAATTCCCTAAAGCTGAACACAGCCTCTCCCAACAACTCTAGCTGGGACACGGATGCTGATGGGTTTTTTAGGACACTCACCTAGCAGGGGAAGCCTGCTAGGGGAAGTACGACAAGGGGCCCCCTCCAAAAGATAATTCTGATGGAGGGAGTTTCCCCTAGTAGAGAAGAGAGTTGGGTCAAATCAAAAGAGCGACCATGCCCAGGAATCATCAGAGCTGACCTGGTGAGCTGGGTCTATCCCAGGACAGAGCCGGCGCTGAAGACAAAGAAAAATGATAACTGTCCGGGGAGGGAGGCTAAGTCATTTTTCTTAATTTTGGGGGGCGGGCCGTTCCAGCATAAACTCTGAAGATAAAAATCTATGTTAGACTGCGAATCAACGTGTTTTCGAACAGCGTAACTGTGTAGCAGCACATTGCAAAAACGCATTCATCCAAAGTGACGTGTGTATGACAAAGAAGACCACGACTGCGTGAAATGCACCCCGATCTGGTGGTCTGACTCTGGTCCTCCGCGTGCGCCATCGGCCACAGCCGGGGAAGATGACGCAGAACGGTTGCCGAGACGCCAAGGGTGTTTCTTGTGTTTATTTTTTTAATTACTAGAATCTGTAGCCAGGAAAGGGTCCTCAAAGCCTCCGAGCTTTGGTTGGCCCTTTTGAAAATATATTTGTAGCGCATATGATAAGCAGAAAGAAGATATTTATTTATACCTGTGATACCCATGGTCATTAAAAGGCTTTTCATGGCTTGATGAGTCCGTATCTTGGGGGGTGTGTTTTGTTCTGTTTAATTTCTGTCCCCTCACCCTGAAATGAACAGCTGCTAAAGAACTTAACTGTCAACCTAAAGAGAAGATGATGCACTTGCCAATCTTTTCCCTCTCGGTTTCTTGACTGATCCAGAGTTGTTTTGTTTTGTTTTGGTTTTTGGTTTTTGGTTTTTTTGAGTTGGAGTCTCACTGTCGCCCAGACTGGAGTGCAGTGGCCGCTCCCAGTCACCACAGCCTTGACCTGCTGGGCTCCGGCGATCCTCCCACCTCAGCCTTCCAAGTAGCTGGAACTACAGGTGCGCGCTACCATGCCCGGCTAATTTTTTGATTTATTGTAGAGATGAGGTCTCGCCAAGTTGCCCAGGCTTGTCTTGAGCTCCTGGGCTCAGGCAATCCTCTCACCTCAGCCTCCCAAAGTGCTGGGATTACAGGCTGAGCCACCGAGCCCGGCTTGTTTTGTTTTTTTGAGACAGGGTTTCACTCTGTCACCCAGGCTGGAGTGCAGTGGCACAATCAGAGCTCACTGCTGTCTTGAGCTCCTGGGCTCAGGCGATTCTCCTGCCTCAGCCTCCTGAATAGCTGGGACTACAAGTTTGCACCACCATGCCTGTTTTTTTGGGTTTTTTTTGGTAGGAACAGGGTCTCACTATGTGGCCAAGGCTGGTCTCAAACTCCTGACCTCAAGAGATCCTCCACCTCAGCCTCCCAAATTGCTGAGATGAGCCACTGTGCCTCGCTCAGAGTAACTCTTAATAAGGAAGCCTTTCCTTCATACCTCCCTGCCATCTGCACCAGTGCTGGGGGTCACAGGTGGGCTTGATAAAACGCAGATGGCGGGGTCCCGTCACTAGAGGCACCAGAGGCGCCAGCGGGACCCAGGTGGGGCTCCAGATTGCCTTTGTCACAGCTTCCAGGATGACAGCAGTGCTGCTGGGCCAAGGCCAGGCTTTGCATCAAAGAAGAGGGAAAGTCCCGGCCTTGTTGGGGAACAGTCAAGTTTCTTCTCCCAGAAAGGCTTGCTTTTGATTGTTCTGTGTTTGTTGTTATTGTTTTGCAGTTTGGGTGGGATTGATGTTGCTGTTGGTTCGTTGGGGGACAACATTTTTTGGTAGTACACAAGGTTTCTTTCTTTTTATTTTTTGAATTGGATTCTCACTCTGTCGCCCAGACTGGAGTGCAGCGGCCGCTCCCGGCCGCCTCAGCCTCGACCTGCTGGGCTCCGGTGACCCTTCCACCTCAGCCTTCCAAGTAGCTGGAACTACAGGTGCCCGCCACCACGTTTGGCTAATTTTTTGATTTATTGTAGAGACGAGGTCTCACCAAGTTGCCCAGGCGGGTCTCGAACCCGCGGCTCAGGCAATCCACTCACCTCAGCCTCCCAAAGCGCGGGATTACAGGCTAAGCCACCGAACCCGGCTTTTTTCTTTTAATAGCAACTTTATTGAGACACCATTCACATACCATAAAATTGCCCATTTAAAGTGTACAGTATACCCGATCTCAAACCAGGTGAAGTGGAGACCAAAGTGAGGCCCAAACTTTACCAGATGGCCATTTGTATACCTAACCCTGAATTGTACCCCACATATTTAAAATAAAAATTTTTTTGATGTTTGAAAAAAAGAAAAAATCCAAACCAAAAAAGGGCACAATATAACTTTTTTTTAGCATATTCATAGAGTTGTGCATCCTTCATCATATTAATTTTAGAGCATTTTCTTATTTGCAAAAAGAAGCCCCGTAGCAAAAAGGAGTCCCATGGCTGTCAACTTCCCCTTCTCCAATCTCACCAGCTTTAAGCAATGACTCTATTTTCTGTCTTTGTGGATTTACCTGGAGGCACTGGTATTCATACTGTTGTGAGAAACCCTTCTGAAATGCTCTGCCGGTGCAGATAGGGAGAGAATGGAGTGCTTATACAATGTCGGTGGGAGTGTAGATTAGTACAGCCTCTGTAGAAAGTGTTCTCAAAGAACTAAAAGTAGATCTACCATTCGATCCAGCAATCCCATGACTAGGTATCTACCCTGAGGAACAGAAGTCGTTATAAAAATACACCCACACCTACGTGTTCATTGCAGCACAACTTATAATTGCGAAGGTGTGGAACCAACAACCCAAATACCCACCAACTGATCAGAGGGCAATGAAATTATGGTGTGTATACTCCATGGAATACTATTTGGCTGTTAGAAAGAATAAACTAATGTCTTTTGCAGTCACTTAGATGGAGTTAGGGGACATTATCCTAAGCTAACTGATCATGAATAGAAAACCAAACACTGCATGTTCTCACTTGTAAGTGGGATCTAAATACACAAAGATATAGAGATTGGCGTAATAGACACTGGCAACTCAGAAGGGGAGGAGGAAGGGGTGGAGGTAAAAAAAAAAAAAAATCACCTACCGGGTACAATGTACACAGGTGGGGGTAGTGGGTACACTTAAAGTCCAGACGAAAAACCTATTTGTACCCTCCCCAAAGCTATTGAAATAAAAGAAAATGTTCGTCGGGCTCAGTGGCTCAGCCTGTAATCCCACGCCTTTGGGAGGCTGAGGTGAGTGG